ACAAACCTCTGACAACCACAATACTCCACTTCATGAGCCTGCAAAAAGGGGCATGAAGATACAGGGACTCTTTTCATGTGCAACAAGCAAGAATCAGGTCAAAGTACAGCCCTTGGACTTGCGAAACAAGCCTTTCCACGATACACCAATCAGCAAGAATGGCTGAGAATCCTCCACTGCTCTCACCTTCCCCAGCCTAGCCCCAAAATTGTAACTCAAAGAAAGGCAAGCCCTTGCACGTTGCGTGTTTCAGACAGGTTTCAGAAGCAATCACAAGTGGTGAGACTGCCAAAACCGAGTTGGATTTTGATGTGAAAGGAGAAATCTGAGAGCTCCCCTGGCTGCTTAATGCTGAAGAAAACCAAAGCTGTCGAACAAGCCACAAGTGAGAGAAAGTGAGCTATCCACGAAAGGTGAAATTGTTATTACTCGTCAGTGCTCCAGTGGTTCCCCTGGAAAGGAAGCAACTTCACTCCAACTGTGGATTCAGTGAGCATTTCATACTCATTGGGGAAGAGGAAGTGCTCCTGTAGCTGGTGACATCTGCAACCCTTCCTGCAGCACATGGCTTGGCACATGTCCTCTAGCACAGGGTCCATTATCTGCAATAAACATGCGTAGGAGCTCCCCAGCCCAGCACAGGCTGCTGCTTCTCTTATGTGATGTATATGCATCATCCTCCTTGGCTTGTGGTTTGGAGACTTGGGTGATTAAAAATAATCACCTCTCTGTCCAACCGTGGGAGTTGCCTGAGCTGTGCATTCTGCCTGAATGCAGGAAGTAATGTATAACTGAGATGATGCAAAAGAGCCTGCAAAAAACCTGCCTTGGAGCTCTTCAGCAGCGCTTCGGTTCAATGGCTCACAGTGCTCTGGGAAGAGGCAAAGCCTCAATGAAATGGAACAGGGAATATTTATGCATCCTGCTCCAGTGAGTGAAGGCATCCACTGAAACCAGGCTTCATTCAGCTTCCCCTACACACCTCCAGAGTAAACGTGCAAGTGCAGGCTAAATCCCAAGGGTTGTGAAACAGCAGTGCATGGCTATCCTAGAGCCTATAAAAATCCCCCTCCTTTTTCCCAGCCTAGTCTGGATCAAAGCAGAGCCATGGAACATGGCTCACACACACTCATGTCATGCTTTATGGAATAAGAGCTCAATACATAATTTATCTACTACACACGCCTATGTAGTAGTAATTACACTATGCATGCATAAAAATCAGACAATGAATTTAAATGACCTGTTAAAGGCCACAAAACAAGTTGGTGGCTAAGTCAAGATAATTGCAGTTACCTCTGAGTAATCCACTATCAGAGCATGCAATGTGCTACTGAACTCATTTCTCTCAGTGAAAAAAGGACCATATGAAACCAAACAATTCAGCTGACACCTTCTGGTTTACCAATCAAGCCTATAGAACAAAAGAAGTTGATCTTTCATTATCCATGCCATTAACTGCATTGCAAACTAGTTATCAACCCTTCTAGTAACAACCAAACATGGGCAGGCACATTAAGAGCTAACAGTTAAAATACCAATCTGGCTTCACACACAAATATGTACCAGTCTAGCTGGCAACACTGACCCTCACCAGGCACTTTTCAAGCAGTTCTCACAGGACCCTAAGGACTCTTACTCCTACACGTCAGAGAACTTTTTTTGCTGATAAAGACTTTGTTTGTGAGCTAAGAATCCATGACCTTTCTGTGAAAAAACCCAAACAAGTACAAGACAAAACGTTCACGCCCCAAGTTATTCTAGTGCAGAGATAAGGCAGAAGTAGCAACTGTAAAATGTGAATAATACTACTGACCTCCAGAGTAGGACATTTAGTATTTCTGTATTGCTCTGTGTGTGTGTGTGTATCTCTATACATATATCTCACTGGGAACATAACTGCTGTCTAGAATAGGGAAGCAAGTAGAAAGAAAGAATTTAATTTTCATAATTATTAAAACCATCCCAGCTCTGAGGGGCAAGGCTGCAGAGAAATGCTATTTGGTAAACTGAGTTAAGTTACTGCTACAGGGCCATTAACAATGACTAGAGCATAGTAAAAAGGAAACTAAACATAGTAAATCGAAACTCCAAGTCAGTAAGACTTTGAGACCAGGAATAGAGTCCTGCATCCCACCTTGTCTCTGTAGATCTGATAATAATCCAAGCACAAGCCATTCTGTGGCATGGGTTACAATACAGAGTCACATACATGCAGATATTGTGCATTTATCACAAAATCAGGCAAAGTGAAGTGTTTGCAGCATAGGTGAGAAACTCTGTGGAACCACTGTCACTCAAAGAGGATCCTCCAAATCCAAGGTGCAGAAGCTTAAAGCCATGTACTGACAGACAATTCCTTAACTCCTGAAATTGTTCAGTTTTATCTCCAAAAAGTAGAGCTGAATTCAAGCAAACCCCACATGATTTTCACAGAGCTTTTCAATGCCTTGAACCTACTGAGGAGCAATTTAGTGCGACTCTGCCCTTTCATATGTTGTGCAAAATGGCAGGCTGCTTCTACTGAGCTCCTACAACCACAGTGGCCTTTTCCTTTCTGGAAAAGGAAAGAAAAATGCAAGTCTGATTTTTTTGAAAAGGAGTTTTGAACTCACATCAGGAACAAATAATCCATGCCTGTTTGCAACCCTCCCAGCATGCTGCCAACCAACATTTTCCCTTACAGCTGTACAACAGCACTCAAAACACATCCACACAGAGCCCCTCCTGGAGACAAAACACCTAGCTGAGAAAACAGTGAGCACATTTCTCCCCAGGAATAAGCAGGAATCTTGCTTTGCAAAGCTGCTGAGGGTGGCAGGTTTGGTTTTGTTTAACTAAAGCTCATTCCCTCTCTAGGCACTGCACTTTGCAGAGGGAAAATAAATAGGCTGGAAAAAACCCAGAAGCTTGCAGGGGAGAACCTGCAGGGAAGCAAGCTGCAGTGTAAACAGGGAGGCAGAGCAGGGCTGGGGGTCAGCAGGGCAGGGCTGGATCTGGGGGGGAGAGCAGGTACAGCCCCTGCCCTACACCAGGGTGGAGGCAGGAAAAAGGGGCCAGGAGCCACTTTCCAAAAAGGAAATTTCACCCTGCCCAGGATTTCCAAACTGCAATAATTTTCCATGGGCCAATCAGGGAGGAGCAAGGCAAACGCACCAAATTAGGAAAGTAAATACTAGAAGGGGGAGAGGAAGGAGGAGGAGGAGAACCCAGCAACCACCTCCCAAAGGCAGCAGTGGGAGAGGGGTCTGAGTTTCATGCTGAGCCCCACCAGCCCTCCCAGCTCTGCCTCTGGGAAGGAGGAGAGGACACTGTGCCAGCCTCACCCAGCACTGGGAAGCCACCAAGAGAGCACAGAGCTGCCCTGGAAGTCAGAGGGCCAGAATGCACAGCTACATGCTCCCAAAGGAGCATTCCCTTCTCAGGCAGAAACACCCAAATCACTTCCCAAGCCTGGCCCACAGGGGAGAGCTGCAAGACCCTGCTGGGGGAGAGGGGAAGGCTGCAGGGGCTGAGCAGGGATGTTTACAAACGTGTCAGGCCCTCCTCTGTAAGAGGAACTAGGAAATGAAAGGGCTTCAGCAAGCGAAACCTCAGATGTCTTTTGAGGTTTTCTGAAGAATTGGCTGGCTCAGCTTCTGCTCGAGACAAACGGATGCAATCATTAATCATCCTCAGTAAACACTGCGTTAGGGGCTGAGCACAATTCAACACTACTATTTCCACTTTCTCCTTATGCAAAAGAAACATTCCCAGGGAATCAAATATCAGTTGCAGGCATATGCCAGAGTCAAAAGATACAGCCTCTGTTAGTAACACAAACCACACTGTGCTGCTTTGCACAAGATGACTGAATGGAAACTAACTACCATATGTTGGCAAAGGAACCATCCCCCTCCCCTCCCAGCAACAAGCTTCATCTAAAAAGAGGAGGTTAAATATAAACCAAAAGCAGTGCCTGAACAGAGGACTAAAACCACAGCCACCTCCAGCCCCCTCTTTCTAGAATATCTGCACTGCACATCTGTGCAGCTCTGTAAGGCGGTCGGAAAAACCCAAACAAGCCTCTGGATCATGCAAACCCAAACCAGCTCCATTGTGACTCTGAAGTCTCAGTCTCAGCCATGCAGATTTGAATACTACTCACTGAATTAGTGCTGTCAGAAGAGATTTGCATATTATACCTTTTTACAAATGTACAGACAAGAAAACAACCCAAAGGCTACTACTATTACCAGGCACACTCTTGCTGTTTTGATGCCCACACGTTTTAAAATTCTAATGCATCATCTTATACCATAAAGTCTCCTTTACTTTACAAAATGCATGGTACTTCAAGTAACAGATTTAACTTTAAAAGATTTCACTGAAACTCTGTAACAATAACTCTTTGCTGAAGAAGAAAGAAAATATTTCATACAGTAACTTGATGTTCATCTTATTTCTACTGCACATGCACTGATCAGATCATGTACAAAACAGGATACTCGCCCAGATGTACATTTAGATTGCTACAGCCCCTCAGTACATGGTCAGCATCCTACCCCCATTTCCTTCCATTCCCAGGAAACCACGTGCCAATGGCCACCCCGTCCCTAACTTCAGATAACAGCAGCACCACCCAGCAACAACAGAATATTGCTGGGATAAAAATAAAACAGGCAGTCTCAAGATAGAAAGTATATGCCTGCTTTCTTTTCTCCATGCATATAGGTAGCTCTCAATAAATATTTCTAATTCCACTGCCAAAGATAGACTCTATATGTAACTCTATAGTGTGAAACCAACACTGAAGTTTACCCTTGAACTCTCTGAGCTCTTAAAGAAAATCCTTGTGCCCTACTGCTGGCCACCATTTTTTAGCAGTCCCTCATCATTTTGAACATCAGAGATTTAATTAGTTATTTTTAATGGGGCATTTCTTGCACCAAGGATACCAAACAAAGCAGGGCAGACAGGCTGATGTCAGAGAAGACATTTTTGAGAATTGAACATCTTACCTGATAGTGCCTGTGGGGGATGGGAGGGGACTGACCACGCTCCGGAGATCCGGCTCCGGGATGTGGATCTTCAGAGGTGATATCTGAGGGTAAAGTGGCCGAAGGGGATGTGTTGAGGCTTCCTCTTTTACTTCCTCTTTATGGTATAAAGATGTGAACTGGATTTTTATAACCGTGCTAGGGAATCGGAAAGTACATCTGGAAGAGAAGGAAAGGGAAAAGTCAGTTTCACACATGATACTGAATGTACTTAAGAGGTTTTGTATGCAGTTGGTGCATCATTAATTCATTCAAAGTCTAGCATGCTGTACTGATCTTTCTGCCTAGTGTCTTGGGCAGAATTACTGATCATTCATAAAGCTCTGTAAATACTTCACAGTGAATCATGAGGCATCTAGAGATGAGATGCAAGCTGAAGATTTGGGTAAGTTCAGTGATTTCCTCAAGGCCATGTATTCAATCAGTGACTAAGCAAGATGCACTCCTGTAACAACAAACTCTTGGGCTCCTGCAATGTATCAAGGACTGGGATCTATTTTTTATTAGCTCACTGTACACCTATCTCAGCAAGATCCAAGTCCCTAGAAAGTATCAAACCACAAGCAATAGGGAACAAAAACAACCATAAAGTCCAGACAGAGCAACAAACAGCCTCCAGGTAAGATCAGAGAGTACTATTTAAAGACTTGTCTCTATATATTGTATAATTGATATCCATTTATATTTGTGCACATGATTTTAAAGGATCATCCAGCAGATTTCAGATTAAAATACATTACTTTAGAAGTGCTTCCCTTTAGGGTTACAGCTAGCAGGTTTACAACAGGGCCCCTGCAAGCCTGTGGGGCCTCATTCCTTCTCTAAGTAACATTTCTTCCCAATTGTTATTTAGGAAAAAAATTAATCACACAAGTGCAGCCTTCAGGAGATGCTTGGAAATTCAAAAGGAAATAAGCACTGACATATTTGAACAGAAAGCTTTCTAATTTACAGTGTCCACAATGACCAAAGGGCTGTAAGAGTGAGTGTTCTGCAATTCTTCTTATTGCACTTTAATTAGACAATCATGTGCAATCAATAAAAGCTTTCCAGGAATCATTTCACTGATACTAAGGTTAAAGCAGCAGGAAATAAAAACCAGGTTTCACCGTGGGAAAGGCCAGCAGAGCACAGTAATTGTGCTGGATTCCAGCATCTTGCCTACAGAAGGAAAGAAAGGGATTTGGGTGGTGTTGTTCTAGCACTGTAAGTGCTGGTGTGGGCTGAGCAGAATTCTTTTAACCAGTGCATTATTGAATCCTGCCAGGTAACCAGAACAAGGTGACAAGCAAGTCAATCTGCACCTTATCTTAATGGTGCTATTGACAGAAATGCAGCTCTAAAACACACTCACTTGCTCTTGGCTCTTTGGCACAAGCAGATTGTGCTGTAAGGTAATGCTCAAAATTATCATTCAGGCATGGGCAGCTCATTCCCATCTCCCACCTCATCTCTCAAATGAGCTGGCTCAGCATTCAGTGGCTCTGCTAGTATAGCAGGAGTTTGCACTGCATTTAATTCACTTCAGAGGTCCTGCCACCTGCACTCATTAATGCATTAAATAAGAACATCATTGCTGGCAATGCAACCTAATTGTGTTTATCTAACCCTTCTAAACAAGGTTCCCTGCAGACTCAACATGAAGGCACAGCTCAAAACAGCAGCGTCCATGCCTTGCAGTGTCTGCCAGCAGCAGGCACCAACCTCCTGAGGTGAACCTGAAACAAGGATGTTGAGCCACTGCCCTGGATTTTAAGCTTTGTACTGCTACATGGATTTGCTTAAAGAGAAAAAGCTCAAAGTACATGTATTTGCAATGAGCATCACATGGACTCAGGCTCAAAACCAGTACAAGCAAAGCTTCATCATTTCTCAAGGCCTTATCAGGGAAAAGCTGAGCTGCCTGTCACAGAGCGATGGAATTCTCTGCTGTAACACCAACTGCTCAGCATTTTCCAACACCTGAGTCAAGGACAAATCAGTCCCTGCTCAGCAGTGCTCAGTGCAATCCCAGCCTGCTGCTGATCAACAGGCCTGACTGCACAGAGCCCTAAGGCAGCTCTGCAGCTCTGCTGAGGCCAGGAGATCCCCACTGCAGCCCAGAGCAGTGAGGAGCTCCAGCCCACTGCCACTCAGGTCTTCCTTTTCAGAAGGAGCCAGTAATGCAAGATCCATATCTCCTAAATTGCTCTGAGGTGATGGTAAAGTAACTCCTTAACTCCTCAACTCTGCCCCACTGATGCTGCAGCATTATTAGATAAAAATGCACCCAAACCACTGTGAGAGGCTGTCCCATCAGCCTGTGAGTGTGGGCAATCTCAAGAAAATCAGTTACTTTTCCAAAATCATGAGTGCACCTGAGATGTGAAGTCTAAAGTAAGGCAGTAACCGTGCTGCAAAGGCCCATCCAGCCCTGCTTTCCCTGCCAGCCTCCCCAGAGCCAGCCATGTGATTTACCCACAATCTCAGCCTGCAACCAGGCACAGGAACACAGCCTGGGCTGGGCTGACTACACCAGCAAACAATTCCTTGGCTGCTGAGATTTTGTTTTTAGACAGACAGGCTTCCCAGTTCACTGAAGCAGAACCCAGGATGTACAAGCAGCTTTCGTGGATTATGGTAATGAGCATGAACATGGCCATTTTGTAAGGAACCAGTCCCAGGAAAACCAGGATATATGGATATATGCAAGGGTGCTCACAGCTTTAGAAAGTCCTGCAGCCTGATCTGAGCTGGCTTCAGTACTGACACTGCCTGCAAAGCCAAGCTGGGGTAACATGGCTGTATTTAAGCTTTTCCTGATGTAAAAACCTGCGACCCAAGAAATGGAAATGCAATGCAAAGCAGATTGTAAATTCCTGCGGAACTCCTCCCTTCCCCCAGGGGTGAGAAGGTGCCCGGGATTAAGGTTATTGTTCCAGTCTATCACAACCACCACAGCAATGCAAACAGGGCCACCAGCACAGCCCAGGCCACTGCTTCAAATCCGCACAGCCTAATGCTGGGGAACCGTGTCAGTGAGAAATCAGAAAAACATGATTTTGGGAGCATCTTGTCACAGGAAGCTCACTTTTCACACCATTGAACCTGAATGCAATTTTAATAAGCTTTCCTATTGTTCCCTTAATTACCCTCTTTCCAGCCAAGAGGATAAACTTAAATTATATCAGGTAGTCCTAATTGGGAGTGAGGCACATTAGTGCAGGACTTAAACCTTTGAGAACTACACTTCTACAGAAGATAGGCAGGACAAGACAGACAACTCAAGCAGAACTGAGCATGCAGTCCTTAAGATTATTTATGTTATTTAAACTGAGTTATACTATTTGATCCATGTTGCATGATTCCTATCAAAGATGCAATAACAACTTTTACTCCTGCTTAACATTTTCATTATGAGAAAAAGATCAATCTGAAAGCACAGATTAGACTCAACATAAAAAGCATAATGAAGTTAACTGGTATTTTCAAGGGCGCCCAAGAGACAATTCTTTCACGCACCTCTGAAATTTCCAGCTGATTAGATGGATGAATTAATGGTCTGCAAAATCTTTGGTCTTGTTATGGGCAGGAGGAGCCTGCCTCAGTTACAGATCTGCTGAGTTTACTCAATAATCTGCTACAGACAGGTGTGTGCTGCAATCAGTCCCTGGCCACAGCATTCATATGGACTGAAATCACATTTACAGTAAGGCACATTCATCAGTTCCTTGGGTTCCAGTTTCTCTAGGATGCCTTGCAAGGCAGTGAGAATAGAAAGCTTTTTTTTTTTTTTTTTTTTTAGTTTGTGTTAAAACTAAAAACACACAAACAGCCTCCTCAACCTCCACAAACTGCACAGAAATTCTTGCCTTCTTGGACTACAGGCAGGAGAGAGTCACAGAAAATGGAGTGCTGGCTCCATGCTGCCTGCTGGAGTGCACAGAATCCATACAAGTGGCTGAATGCATGCTATATATACACTGGAGACCAAGGGGGAGAGAAGGAGTGCACATTCCACACATGGCTACAGTCACATAAAAGATGTTGCTAGAATTTTGTTTGCTTGTTTTACACAAGACAGATTTTTCCAAAAGTTTCCTGGGTGAGCTCCTCCCACTGACAGCACAGCAGCTCCCATGCTATTAGGCATCCTTCATGTGGTGAACCAGTGACAGTGACCACAAGCATTTCATCTACATAAAGTCTGAAAATAAAGTGCTAGGAAACACTAGACTTTACATAAACAGTCACCCTACAGCAGACTTCAGGAAAGATGGTTAGGGGAAAAAACCCAACAAAATGACTGCATCCCCTGCATGGCTCTATTAAAAGCAGACATTTTCCTCCTCCTCAAAGCACCTTTTACTCACAGATGCAAAGGGAATGGAGATGCATTTGCCAAAACATAGTACCAGGTTCAATAGAAGCTATTACAGTCACTGACTTCTTTGTTAAAGCACCCTGAGCTCTGTTAGCACCAAATGACTTCTGCTAAGATCTGCTGCATGACAGCAAGAAAAGGCTATTTAAAGATTTTAAAAGGAGGCAGGAAACTGTGCTGGATTTATGCTTTCACACTCACACTGAGGAAAAGCACTGTGACAAAAGAAGACAAATCATGAGAAAGCCAAGGTGAAACATATATATAAAATATATATATAACATGCATATATAAAACTTCGAATGGTATTTATATATACTGTTATATATATATATATAAACATAATGTAGTATGTTATGTTATATATAAACATCATTCCAGTTCATCATGCAAAAGGAATAACCAGAAAAGTAAGCTGGAACTACAACACATGTGTTGTAATCAGCAAGTTGGTACCATCTTTGTCTACTTTATCTCTCCATAATTTATGAAATCCTGTTATTCCTGAATGTTGGGGGTATAGCTGCACCAGGAGCATCTGTGGTACAGTGCTGAGATGCAGGTCGAGCGAGAAACATTGTAGGAGGTGCTCTGTTAAAAATATCACTTTTTACAATTTGAATCAGACAGCACCACAGGCCCCAGGTTTCATTGAAAACCTGCTTAAGCATGACTGTCTGCAAGAGCCCTTTTCTTTTTCGACCTGCAGATACTGTAACCACCCTGCTGACACTCAGTATCTCAAGCTGTCCCTCCATCACCCTGACTTTGCATCAGCACTGGTGCGACCAGCAGGACCAGGGCAGGGACCGTCCACACCTCAAACGCTGTGTCCAGCTCTGGACCTCAATTCAGGGAGGAATGGAGGGGCTGGAGTGTGTCCAGAGCTGGGGAAGGGTCTGCAGCAGCACAAGCCCATGAGGAGCAGCTGAGGGAGCTGGGAAGGGGCTCAGCCTGGAGAAAAGCAGGCTCAGGAGGGACCTTCTGGCTCTGCACAACTCCTGACAGGAGGGGACAGCCGGGGGAGTCAGGCTCTGCTCCCAAATAACAAACAACAGGACAAGAAATGGCCTCAGGTTGTGCCAAGGGAGGTTTACATTGAACACTGGGAACCATTTCTTCACCTAAAGGGTTGTCAAGCCCAGGAACAGGCTGCCCAAGGCAGGAGCAGAACCACTGTCCCCGAGGGACTGAAAAGATGAGTGAATGTGGCACCTGGGGACATGGAGGGATTTAAAAGACCCATGGATGTGGCACCTGGGGGCATGGAGGGATTTAAAAGACCCATGGATGTGGCACTTGGGGACATGAAGGGATTTAAAAGACCTATGGATGTGGCACTTGGGGGCATGGAGGGATTTAAAAGACCCATGGATGTGGCACTCGGGGACATGGAGGGATTTAAAAGACCTATGGATGTGGCACCTGGGGACATGGTTCAGTGGTGCCACTGGCAGTGCTGGGAGAATGGTTGGACTCAGTGATCTTAAAGGTTCTTTCCAATCTAAACAATTCTGTGATTCTGTGATGTGAGGGGACAGTAGTCCAACTCTTGAGGATGGGGCAGTTATCTCTACAATCAGTAAATACCTTGGATTCAGCAGAAGTGGCCAGCCAGAGCTCTAATCACAGCACACGGTCATGATGATACAGAACTGTGGCATTACTGGCTAAAGTTTGACCAAGAGTGCCCACAAAAACCCTTGTAAAAGTAAAAAAAATCCCAAACAACCTCCATGAAACAGCTTTTTCTCTGTTCCCTGTAATTTCTCTGAAAATCATTAGTTTTGTGCCAATAACACATAGCTCACCCCATAGACTACAGGACTATTTCCATGCACAAAATTGCAAAATCATGTTGGGTTTCTCAGAACAACTGAGAATTCGGTGTCAGTCATCTCATGGTCAGACTATCACCCTTACCAGCTATTTCAAGATACCTGACATAATTCTGTGGAGGGCAAGATGGACAATTGTCACCCTTTCAGTGAATGTGCACCATAAATAATAACATTTCAGGCTACAATCAATGTGCAGGTGCTGCACAGAGCAGCCATTACAGAAAAGTGCCCAATTACCTCCTGTAAC